AGACTTGCCACGGTCTCCAACCCTCCTCCTTTCTCATCCGGGCTTGGGACCGGCCATGGCGGAGTTCCAAGGCAAAGAATATTCTTCGTAAATCGTGAAATTAATTTCACTACTTTCCTATCCTGAAGCAACCGAGGATTCAGCTGAAGCGCAGCAGACACTGCACATCAGTCATTCAGTACGCGAAGTTACAAAAGCTGTAAAATTCTTGAAATGTGGAAAGACTGTGGAATGGACGAAAGTCGCCTTGAAATGCTTAACGCTTTAGGCGAACAAGGCATGTTGTGGCTAGAGCGTGTTTTTCAAACTTGAATGACAACGAAGAAGACATCAGTGAACCGGAGAACTGGAGTAGTAGTACCTTGTTTAAGAACGGAGATCATAGAGAGTGCATGAATTATCGGGACATTACCTTATTGAGCCCCTAGCGAGAAGTCTACGCAACGGTCTTGGAAAGTGGACCTCCCATTTAACCCTATGATCCAAGCAGAGCAGTGTGGCCTCAGGTCAACGCGACGCACGTCTGACAAAATATTGAACTTAAGCCGGATTATAAAGAAATGGTGGAAGTTTGCTCCTCCGGTTTACAAATGTCTCGTTGACCATGAGAAAGCATCTCTGACCAGACATAACGCATCAAGCTGTGGGAGTGCCTGCAAATGTGTGAGGTTCGATGACTGTTGCCATGAGCGATGCAGTCATTATATGCTGATAACAAAGTAAAGTCAGTAAGGTTAGAATAAATGGCGAGAAATTGACACCTTTCAACGTTGGCGATGGTCTGCACTAAATCTCATGGATAAGATAGCAAGGCGTAGCTAGGGCACCGGCTATGTTAGAGTAGGAGATGTGACGACGAGAAGATTGCTGTTTGCAAATGACCTTGTATCGTTGGCATCTTCCGAAACGGCTCTGTGAAAAGATTCGCAGAGAAGTATTAGGTGACCGGCATGCATAACTAAAACCAAAAGCTTCGTCGTTCTCTTGTCAGCGGCGCTCTGCAGGAAAACAGAGAAATTCACGTACCTCCGAATCGTGTTTACCGGTGATGGAAGAATGGAAAATTGCAGGAAGAAATCGACAGGCAAATACGAATGCGAATAGTCAGCGACGTCTGCACGGACGAGTGTGAACGTTGTGTCACTCAGGCAGAGGTAAGTTGACGATTGTACAGTGTGTTCAAGTCGATCGTAATCTGATACTCACACATGGTTATGAATTGTAGGCCATGACTGAAATAATTCAGTCTCGGACATAAGGAGTCTGTAATGTGTTTCAGACGAATCGCTGGTTCAAGCGCCTCACAATGTCTGGCGTTCAGATATCGGAGAGATCATTGGCGTGCAGGCGCTGTTTCTCCAGATTAAGAAGTCAGTGCTGCGATGGTTCACACACGTCCCTCGAATGCATCCAGAAAGGAAGGCAAAACAACTACTGTTTGCTCAACGTCCAGCCGAAGGTTCCGGAGACAGCCAAGAAAATCCTAAGTCAAGTTTCGGAGGACTCTTCTCCAGACTTCGGTTACCGTGTGCCGGAGCTCAAACGCTGGCATTGGGTCAGGAACGCCGGAGATGTTGTCTGACGCGCCTGTCTCCGCGACACGAAAGGATAATTGGTCATCGAGACAGACTGATTGGCTGACATAACTAGTTGGGAAAAGATTTTGGCAACTAGTCTGTAACGAACTTGCCATGAACGTGGGGTGTTAATAACTCAAGGAGGTAATAAGCAGAAGCAGGTAACAATCGGAAATTTTGCATAAAAGACGAGCCTGCCCTCAAACGCCTGGGCCAATGCTAGAGCAACACAAACGCTAGGCTTGTCGCTCGTTCGTCTGATGACTGCTACCATGAAGGCCAGCGAAAGCTCGTCTGAAACTTAGACAA